GTATAGTTTCCCTATGTCCTTACTTACTAGAGTCTTGCCAAACTCCTTTTGTCTCTTTTAGGCTGGCCATGACATATCAAGGTCAAAGTCTGTGTTCTAGTCATCAAATAAGCTTTGGAGAGATGCTTCTGATTATTGATTGGAGGCTGCGAGTCCAAGATGTTGGGGACGAAGTTCCTCTGCCTCTACTTAGTCTCCCAGAAGAGGCTGGAAAAATGCAACTGAGCCTCAGATCTTTTTGACCATCTTAGAAGGACAAAAGCTGAGTGAAAATAACACTTGTTCTAGCAGAACTCCTTTAAAGAATCAAGCAGAACTGTCTAGTGAAGCACCTCAGCTACACCAAAGAGCAGGTGGAGCATCAGCTGCTCACTCACTGGAAGGTCTTTCTGTTCAGGATCTCTGATTCTGGGAGATAGACAGATTTTCCAACTAGTGTGCTTTCAGACCATTGAGTTTTGAAAGGAAGCTGGGAATAAGGTCTTTTTCTTTATCTTCCTCCATGAAGGATTAACCAGAGATGTCACCGATTCCAGGTGAGGGTTTATGAAGGTTCCCTCCAGAAGTAGGGACCTTCCACTTACGGTTTTAGTCTTAGGTTCTTGACTTTGATTTCAGAATAAGAATATTCAGTCAAGTCGTAATAGTAAGAAAACTTGGCAGAGCTGTGTTGAGTAAGCGAGCGAGCAAGCAGGCAGGAAGGCAAGCAGAGAGGAAGAGGCATACTCGAATAGACCCAGTGTGGGTGTTCAATGGGAGACACAGGGAGCTCTTTGATATCAGGGCAATATGCGATAGAGGCAGGGTTTTAGGATAACTGTTTTCCTTTGTTCTCACACCTGGCACATTGAATCATGCTCATCTATTAGGAAGAATAATATGTCAGTTGCAAGGAAATGGATGGATTTAGAAATATTATATTAAGTAAAGTAAGTTAGGCTTAGAGATGAAGACCACATGTTTTCTCTCACATGTGTAGGTTAGATCTAAACTGAAAACATATACAGGGACATATGCATGTATACACAATCAAACTGATTAAAGTAGGGTATGCATAATGAACTGACAGTCTAACAAAATGAATACCAGGAAGCTGAAATGTGTTTTGTCTGAAGTGGGTAGGACTGAAGGGGAGGGAGGCAGGAGAATAGAGAGAGGCAGGGTGGGTGAACAGAGTCATAATATTAAATGTACATGTATGAGCATGGAGCCAGGTCACTTGAATGGATGGGTGTGAGGCAGGGAGGAGATGGAAGGGCCACACTAATGAAGATGCATTGTTCTCATAAATTGCCATGTTGAATGGAAACCTCTGTACATTTACTTAAAGATAATTAAAAAACCCAAACTCACCGCATTCCACTAAAGTTATCCCTTATAAAGAAAAGACTGAAGGTGATAGGTACCACTGAGGGTGTGGAGAAAAGGGACCACGTGCACACAGTTTGTGGGAGAGCAGTATAAAAGTTCTTAAAAAAATTAAACATAGCCGGATGCTGGTGGCTCACACCTGTAATCCTGCCTGCTCAGGAGGCTGAGATCTGAAGATAGTGGTTCAGAGCCACCCAGACAAGAAAGTCCATTAGACGTGTATTTCTGATTAACCAGAAAAAAGCCAGAAATACAGCTGTGGCTCAAGTGGTAGAAAGCTAGCCTTGAGCAAAAAACCTTAAGGACAATACTCAGGCCCTAAGTATAAGCCCCAGGTCTGCAACTAACTAACTAACTAAATAAATAAATAAAATAGAACTACTACCATAGAGTCCAGCAATCCCACTATTGGATTCTCTTCCATGGAAGAGAAATCACTACGTCACAGAGAAATTTGCACTCTCGTGTTTTTTTGTTTTTTTTTTTTTTGTCAGTCATGGGGCTTGAACTCTGGGCCTAGGTGCTGTCCCTCAGCTCTTCAGCTCAAGGTGAGCGCTTTACCACTTGAGCTACAGCGCCACTTCAGTTTTTCTGGTGGTTTATTGAAGATAGGTGTCTCACAGCCTGCCCAGGCTGGCTTTGAACCGCAATCCTCAGATCTCAGCCTCCTGAGTAGCTAAGATTACAGGCGTGAGCCACCAGTGCCCAGCTCACTCTTGTGTTCTTTGCAACACTACTTACACAGCCAACAAACAGAAGAGAACTAAGTGTCCATCCACTGAATGGGTAAAGAAAGCATGGTACACAGTCAGAGTGGAGTACTACCCAGTCATAAAAAGAGTGAAATCTGTTATTTATGACATGGATGGATCGTGAGACCATTATGTTAAATGAAATAATGTAGGCACAGATTCACTTGTGTGGAAACTCAAAAGCTGATCTTAAACAAGTTGAGAACAGAAGAGTGGTCACTATTAATTCTGGGTTTATGGGCAGGCTCTGCCACTTGCTGGTGGAGCTTGTCACAGCTTCCTAATAGATGCTGTGAACTGAATTAACAATGGTGAAGATTATGGAAGGTCCAGGCACTTTTACTAATGCTCTATTGGCTTCATCTCCCATAATTTTTTCAGATGGGGGTTCCAAAGCTGGAGCCTGAGGACTGTGCTTTTTTGTTTTTGTTTATGTTTTTGTTTTTCAGTCCTGAGGCTTGAACTCAGGGCCTGGGCACTGTCCCTGACCTTCTTTTTGCTCAAGGCTAACACTTTACCACTTGAGCCACAGCAACACTTCTGGCTTTTTGGGGGGGAAGGGTGGTCTTGGTGCTTGAACTCTGGGCCTGGGTGCTGTCCCTCAGCTCTTCAGCTCAAGGCGAGCACTCCACCATTTGAGCCACAGCACCACTTCTGGTTTTCTGAGTGGTTTATTGTAGATAAGAGTCTCATGGACTTTCATGCTCAGGCTGGCTTTGAACCATGATCCTCAGATCTCAGCCTCCTGAGTAGCTAGGATTACAGGAGCGAGCCACTGGTGCCCGGCTGCTTTTTCTGTTTATATGGTACTAAGGAATGGAATCCAGGGCTTCATGCATGCTAGGCAAGTACTCTACCATTAAGCCACATTCCTAGCCCCAGGACTAGAATTTTTTAAAATTATTAATTTGACATTCCTGGTTGTGTATCAATGTCTAGGCAGTGGTTAACCACTCAGAGTCTTAGAGAAAAAATATACTTCATTCTGCAGCAGCAGAATGTCAAACTTTCAGTCTCCCTGAGCCTCAGTTTCTTCATCGTATTATGGGAGAGCCAAAACTGATGACTCAGGCCTGTAATCATAAGTACTTAGCAGGCTGAGATCTGAGGATCACCGTTCAAAGCCAGCCCCATTAAGAAAGTCTATAATAGTCTTATCTCCAATAAACCACCAGAAACCAGACATGGTGTTGTGGCTCAGGTGGTAGAGAAGTAGCCTTGAGCTGAAGAGCTGAGGGACAGCGCCCAGGCCCAGAGTTCAAGCCTCAAATCTGGCATATATAAAATAATAAAATGGGAACAAAGTAGCATCCACCCCTGAGAATGACAGAAGAGCTGAAATGAGCCTATCTAAGCAACTGTGTCTGGCATACACAGGTGTTCTGACAAGGATTACCTTGTAGCTTCATCAACCAGTTATTTTTTCTTTGCAGATGAGAGCCAAGTATCCTGTGCTTGTGTGTGTGGGGGGCGGTGGGAGGGAAGAGGTCATGGGGCTTGATCTCTGGACCTGGGCATTGTCCCTTAGCTCTTCAGCTCAAGGCAAGCACTCTAACACTTGAGCCACAGCGCCACTTTCGATTTTCTGGTGGTTAATTGGAGATAAGAGTCTCATGGACTTTCTTGCCCAGGCTGGCATTGAACCATGATCTTCAGATCTCAGCCTCCTGAGTAGCAAGGATTACAGGTGTAAGCCACTGGCACCTGTCTATATTGTGCTTTTTTTTTTTTTTTGGGTCCGGTCGTGGGGCCTGAACTCTGGGCCTGGGTGCTGTCCCTCAGCTCTTCAGCTCAAGGCTAGCACTCTACCACTTGAGCCA